ATAAATACATTTTAAAAAAGATATTGTGTCCATTTACAACTTAAAAAAATATTTAAAAAAAAAAGCAACCACTAGGTTGCTTACATCCTCACTAAGTGGCTGAGGCTGGCCTCCAACTTAACAGTCCTTCTGCCTCAGCCTTCTGAGCTGTTTAGATTACAGGCATGCCCACTGGACCCCGGCTCTCTGCCACCTTTCTTTTCTTTTTTTTTTTTTTAAATATTTATTTATTTATTTTTAGTTTTCAGCGGACACAACATCTTTGTTTGTATGTGGTGCTGAGGATCGAACCCGGGCCGCACGCATGCCAGGCGAGAACACTACCGCTTGAGCCACATCCCCAGCCCCTCTGCCACCTTTCTTGAACCTCTTCCGACCTCCTCTACTTTTTTTGTTTAATATTTATTTTTTAGTTGTAGTTGGACCCAATACCTTCATTCCATTTATTTATTCTTATGTGGTGCTGAGGATTGAACCCAGGGCCTCGCATGAGCTAGGCGAGCACTCTACTGCTGAGCCACAACCCTAGCCCCTGGACCTCCTCTACTTCTGTCCGCCACAGAGAAAAAGGAAGATCCTTGAAGCAGAGGCCTGGGCTTTCTTTAGAGAATCCAGTCAGAGGGAAAGAACGGGAGGTGAGAACAGGGCTAGGGTGGCACAGCGCCCCAGGGGCAGAGGCCCTGGCCATGTGGCAGTGAAAGAGCTCTGAAAAGGGCAGCAAGGAGGAGGAGCCGGAAGCCGGGCAGGAGGTGAGCAAGGAGCACCTGTGCGCAGGTTTGGTGTGTGGGCTGGAGGGAAGAAAGAACCTCCAGGTGACAGGAGCTGCAGAAAGGGGATAATGATACCCTGGCAAGGCAGCAGGGGCCTGGAGCCCAGCCCAGCCAGGGGGATGGCGCAGCTAAGCCATCACGTGCCACCCACAGGCTGGGGGACATGAGCAGGGAGGGGAAGTGGGCCTGAGGTGGCCGGGACCAGCGCGGCCCTGGGGGTTTGCTCTAGAGCTTCTGCCTGCCTCCCTCCCTCTGTCTCTGTTGCTCTCCTCTCTCTCTCTCCTTCCCTCTCTTTCAATACTCGAGATTGAACCTAGGGGTCCTCTACCCCTGAGCCACATCTCCAGCCCTTTTTGATTTTTTTTTTTAGTCGTAGACACAATACCTTTATTTTATTTATTTACTTTTATGCGGTGCTGAGGATTGAACCCAGCGCCTCACACATGCTAGGCAAGTGCTCTCCCACTGAGCCACATCCCCAGCCCTGTTTTTGATTTTTATTTTGTGAAAGAGACTGTGTTTCCCAGGCTGTTCTCAGACTTGCAATCCTCATGCCACTGAGATTGCAGGTGTGCACTGGTGCCAGCTCCATCTGTCTCCTACTTTCTCTCTTCTCCCTCCTCAACCCATCCACACCCCAGAGTCTCCACTTGGAGCAGAATAGTGAGAATGGGGGTGTCAGGAAATACCTGGGAGCTGCATTAATCCAGACCATGTGCCCAAGGCTGTGAGAAGAAGCCAGGCCACTAGAGTCCCACGAGCAGAGAATCAGATCTGGACACTGCACACCCAGTTTTCACAACAGAAAACTGAGCTGGGCATTGTGGCACATGCCTGTCATCCCAGCAGCTTGGGAGGCTGAGGCAGGAGGATCACAAATTCAAAGCCAACCTCAGCAATTTAGGGAGGCCCTGAGCAATTCAGAGAGACCCTGTCTCTAAATAAAATATAAAAAGGGCTGGAGATGTGGCTTAGTGGTTAAATGCTCCCGGGTTCAATCCTGGTACCAGAGAGAGAGAGAGAGAGAGAGAGAGAGAGAGAGAGAGAGAGAGGTGAAGATCTCCCCAGAGCTGGTGTCTCAGACAGTCCCTTCAGTTTGCCATCCACTTTCATCTCCCTTCTTCTGGGGAGCAGTCCTTCTCTAGGGAACTCCCTTCCCAGTGTCTATTCAGAGAGGGCTGACCTTTCTGACCTTACCTCAAACCCCAGGGTGGACATGAGACCGTATGTCAATTTGTGCCTGTCATCCCCAGGCCACTGTGATTCAATAGAAATTGATCCAATGACATCAGCACTGAATCTTTTGCTGAACTACTGGGAAAAGGGTGTTTCTTTCTGTTCGGTTTGTCACATGGAAGATTTAAGCCTCCCATGCTTAGATTATTTGGAGTGGGGCTACCAGAGAGTAATGCTATCTCCAAAGGAGAGCAGGCCCAAGTCAGAGAGGCAGATGTCAGATGACATCATCTGAGTGCCTGGATCCAGCTATGCCTGAAGTCTATTCCTGAGCTTTTTAATTATGGGAGTATAAAAGCTTAAACCAGTTTGAGCTGATTTTCTGTTGCTTGCATCCAAGAGACTCTAAGTCAGCTTTAGAGAAACAAGTGGAGAGAAGAGCAACCCAGAGAGAGAAACGACTACAGGGGTAAAGACTGAGTTTGAAGGGAAAGCAGGAGTGTATGTGGCAGAAGGTGTCCGTTAGGATCACCACTGAGCTGACACTTAGCAGTGAAGCAGGAATATCAGAGTTTATTGAAAAGAACACAGCCAAAAATGTTTTTCTGAGAGGCCAATCTGAGATGGGGAAGACCTTGTTGCTCACTTGGTTATCTGTATAATAGTAGTAGTCTATAGGAGCCCCTTGTCTGTGCAGGGTGTGGGTCTAAATGGGGTGGAGAGGAAGACAAAGTCAGTTGGAGTTTATCCGGTCAGCGAACAGTTGCAACAGACATCTATACTAATAGATCCTATGACATCAACTGAATTCCAAGACAGATCTTTAAAGACAAGCGAAAACATTCAACCTCCCCCTCTTGTTGCATGTACTGGAACTCCTCCCCTAACTCAACCCCTTCCTTATTGGATGTTCCCAGATTCCATCTGAGGTAGAGTATGTAAATCTCAGGGATAAACACGAGAGACAGATGGCAGAACTAAGTGGTTCAGATTGCACAACTCCAACACGTTATGAGATGCAGCCCAGAGAGGGCAAGCCCCGCTGGCCCCTCACCCTCTAGTGGCAAGATGTGCTGAACCCTCTTTAGTTATAAACCTAATGAGAGGAGCTCTTGGGGGTGCCAGGTGGGGTGGAGGCCACAGGAGGAAGCAGTGTCCAGAACTGATAAGAAACTCCCTTCCCGGGTCCCACACACACTGTTATGTCTGCACTGGGAATCCTCAGGGGTGAAAGGGAGGACAGGACCCTAAGGAAAGACAGAGAGGGTAGAAGGTCTTGTTCCTGGTGCCTGGGAGACTCATTACCCCACTTCCTTCACTGGGCAACTACTGATGTCTTTAAAACAAACAAACAAAAACAAAACAAAACAAAAAATACTGCATAAATAAGATACAGCCTTAGCTGAGCATGGTGGCACATGCCTGTAATCTCAGCGGGTAGGGAAGCTGAGACAGGAGGATCATGAGTTCAAAACCAGCCTCAGCAACAGCAAGGCGCTAAGCAACTCAGCAAGACCCTGTCTCGAAATAAAATACAAAATAGGGCTGGGGATATGGCTCATTGGTTGAATGCCCCTTAGTTCAATGCTTGGAGGTAATAACAATAATAATAATAGTAATAGCAGACTTCTAATGTATTTGTACATATAAAATATACCTAAGCTGAGTGCGGTGGCCAGTCTGTCGTTTTTTTTCCCCCTAATAGTGGAGACTGACCCCAGGGCCTCCCACATGCTAGGCAAATACTCTACCACTGAGCTACATCCCTAGCCCTTTTGTTTTTTTATTTTGAGACAGGATCTGGCAAATGTTGCTCAGCCTGGCCTTGAACTTGTGATCCTCCTGCCTCAGCCTCCTCAGTAGCTGGGATTATAATTATGCACCACTGTGCCTGGCCTAACTCTTCTTTTCTTATAGTTATATGTTAATTTGATTTATTTATCCATTCTTTTACTGATGGACGTGTAATTTGTTTCTGAGTTTTCGCCATTGTAAACAAGAGCATTGAATATACTCTGTGCACATGTGTGAGTGTTTCTTGAGGATTCATTCCTAGAAGAGAGATTCCTGGCTTAAAATGTGTATGAATTTTTCATTTTGAAAGATATTGCTTTCAAAGTGAAGGCTTTTCCCTGTGAAGGAGCCCTCTCTCCCACGGGCTGAACCAGAGACAAAAGACAATCAGGGTGGAGAGAGCATGGGTTGTCCATTCAGACATATTCAGTTCAAATCCTGGCTCTGCCACTTTCTTTCTGTATGAACTTGGTTAAGTCTCTTAACCTCTCTGAGCTTCTGTTTCCTTAACTGCCAAGGAACACATAACGGCTGCCTCACAAAGCTATCGTAAGGATCTAATGGTGTCTATTGGGCCAAGCCTTCAGCATGGATGGGCCTGGCACACAGTAGGCTCTTGACCAATGCTAGCTTTCTTTCCCTCCTGAATCCCCTTCTGCATTCATCATGGAAGAGCAGGTCTGAGGAGAGGCCTGGGAGACTGATTTATTAGTGAATGTCATGCAGAAGACAGCCTCCACTGGGACCTTTCTCTAGATGGTCTCTCCACCCCAGCCACTGCCTTTCATACTCTTGGTCTCTGCCCAGGAGAAAGAAGGGGATCCTTGAAAGAGCAGTGAGGTGTCTGGATGCTGTTCAACCTGGCAAGAGTGGAGCTGAGCGGCAGGTGACGAGGCCTGTGGTAGATGTAGTTATGATGGTTTGGGGAGGTTGTGGGCCTGAGGGAAGTAGCTTGCCCCATTTGTTTATGTATTTGTGGTGCTAGGGACGGAACTCAGGATCTCAGACATGCTAGGCAAGTACTCTACTGCTGAGCTGCATCCCAGCCCATAGCTCACCCTTTCTGAGCTCAGTTTCTTCCTCAGTAAAAGAAAGGAGCCAATACCCCCAGTCCTACCTTCCTCAGTGTCTCTGACAGTAGATGTCTCCACAGGCCAAAGGGCAAGAGTGAATCCAGGTAGAAATACTTTTCTTTCTTTTTTTTTTTTAAATACTATTCCCTCTACCTCATATCCTTTTTTAAAAAAATATTTATTTTTTAGTTTTCAGCGGACACAACATCTTTGTTTGTATGTGGTGCTGAGGATCGAACCCGGGCTGCACGCATGCCAGGTGAGCGTGCTACCACTTGAGCCACATCCCCAGCCCTAGAAATACTTTTCTAAAAACAGTCCAGATGGGGAAGGAAGGACTGAGCCAGACTGGTTGAGTTATCCCTAAAGTGATTTCCCGGGTTCCCTTGACTGTATTTCCTGGTTCCCGATTCCTGGGCGCTGGGGAAGCTGAGATCTGGCCATCGCCTCACTTAGCATCTCACAGTGACATCCTGGCTTCCTGCCCAGGCCCACTCACAGGGTGTAGTGCTGACCCTGTAGGCCCCAGTGCCCTCCCCATCAGCCTCACAGCAAGGCCTGAGCTGGCGGGAAGGGACAGACAGGAGTCTGAAAGCCCAGTGCTCTGTCCAGCTCCACCTGACTTCAGTGGCTGAGAGGCTAGACCTGGGCCATCTCACCCAATGCCTTCCTCTCCAGGGTCAGGACAGCTTCAGTTCTGTGCCTGAGCATGATCCTGGGCTGAGCCGGAGAGAGAAAAGGCAGGACAGAGAGTGAGGAATTGAGCAGTGAATGTGTCCCCTTTATGGTCCCTTAACCCACAATGGAAGTGGGCCCTAGGGTGCCTTGCCAATGGCCCCAGGGGATGGACAAAGGAGCAAGAATACCTAGTAGAACCAGCCTTCAGGTTGAGATTGGGGATGAAAGGCACTCAGTGCCCCCTCGGTTGCTAAAAGAAGAAAAGGAAAAAGTAAAATAAACCAATATGTGCAAAGAAATGGAAGAAAGCAGTGCTTGGGGTAATGACTTCCAATGGGGGAGAATCAGGAAGGGAGTTACCATTTATGGGACACTTAGAAGACCCCAGATACTGTACCTGCATAATTCCTTTCTTCCTGGTGACCACCTTCAGGGGTATGGGCTATCTTCAGCGCTCCAGTTAGCAGATGAAGAAACCGAGGTTCTGAGAGGTTCTCAGTCACACTGCTAGAAAGAGGCTGCCCTTGAATGGAAGCTCAGCTCTACCTGTCTGACCGCTAAATTGAGGCTGCGTGTTCCTCCGCGGGGCTCAAGACCATCCTCCAGCGCATCTACCTAGCCTCGGCCTTGCCTCACACCCAGCCTCCTCCAGCTTCTCCATCTCCTGAGAGCTGCTCCAGCCTCCCCACTCGCTCCTCACTTGGCTTCCTCTTTGGAAACCAGCCACAGGTTTTTTTCTTCCATGTGAGGGAGAAAAAATGGTCTCGTTCCCCACCCCCAGGTCTTCCCATCCTCTCATCCATCCAAACCTAAGCATCTTTCTCTCTCTTCCCCCCTCCCTGCTCTCATCTTGTTTTTTTTTTCTTTCTGTTTATCCATCACTAGAATCCACCACCCCCTTCCCTCTTGCCTGTAGGTTCTGTGGCTATAATCAAATCATAACTTTTATTAAATTTAAGATTACTTTTTAATGGAATCAATTTCTTGTGTGGTGCTTCTCTGCCTGCCTGAGGGCTCCGCCAGCTCTGGGCTCAGCACCCACCCGCACAATTGTCTCTGCCGCTGGCATTTCTGGCTAAGCTGCTTCCCGAGGAGGGGCAGCTGTGCCATCCCGAAACACACACACACCCAAGTGCACCTTGTCGCCGAGCCCCAGACACACAACCACCAAGCCCCAGGCGCCCACACGGAGTGGTGGTGGGGGCCAGGGAGCCGGGATGGAGGTGGCGGGGGCAGGAGGAGGGAGCTGCAGAGGGACGCCGAGGGCGCCCACCAAACCCGGAGCTCAGCAGACATTTCTCAGCCTGTTAATTTCCTACAGTTCTGTTTTCCAGCCTCAGAAACAAGCTGGTTTCTGCCAGTCCACCTCCTTCCCACTGCATTGTGCAGCTAGAGCAGGGAGGGGCTGTGTGTGTGGGGGGGGGGGGAGGGGAGTACCGAGGAACAGCAAGGAGACCCGGGTCTTCATTGGATTTTTAGAAGTCCAGGCATCCAGGCAGGATGCAGAGAAGCATCTGAAGCTGTGACCCCCACCCCCTCAAAGTGAAGCCCAACTGAGAGATTTGCAGTCTGAACCTGCCTAACCCTACTGTCTGGGCCACAGGAGGAAGGGAGCTTGGGGGTACTGCAGGCAACGTTGTTCTGGAGGTAGGAGAGGGAACAGGGAGGGCAGGGGTTGGAGGGTCACTTTGGTGGAGGGGATATGGCTGGAGAGTGCTGTTGGGTGAGCAGTGCCCTCATGGGGCCTGTAGATGAGGGTTTGCTGATTCAGCAGAGAGACTTAGACACATTCTTGAGCTGTCTGGGCAGTTCTGGACTCTGCTCCTGCTTTCCTGGGAGGCTCCCTGGCAGTGTCAGATAGACAGAAGATCCTGGGTGGACAGGTGGCTCTGGGGCCTGAGGGTGGCCATCTTGTCTTCCCACACTGTCTCAGCGCACCTGGTTACTGAGTGTCAGAAGGGAGCCTTATGTGCGTGCAGTTGGACAGATAGTGGGGTGGGTAAGAGTGCAGGCTCAGGCCTCAGGGAGGTCTGTGACTCTACATTCCGATGCTTTCTAACTGTGTGACCTTGAACAAGTGACCTAATATCTCTGACCCTGTTTCTTCACCTGGAAAGGAGGATTCCACAGAATAATGCACGTGGAACATCTGGCATGAAGCCTGGCACAGTCGGAGCTCAACAAGGGGACTGCAGGTCTTCTCTCTCTCTCTTTTTTTTTTTTTTCTTTTTTGGTGCTGGGAATGGAACTCAGGGCTTCCTGCTCTCCTGCACACTAGGCAAGTGCTCTGTCACCGAGCAACAACCCAGTCTTAGAAGACTGCATGTCTTTTAAGCACCAACCAAATGCATCCACATAGTTCACAAGCTGCCTTGCCTACAGGGGTTGGGACCTGAGCCATGTGGTAGAGGGGACAGACTTCTCCAGGCGGGGGGCTGGGCTTCTGAATGAAATTCAGGCTGAGACCAGAGAACATGACGTGAGGACAATTCCCAGGATTGGAACCCAGGACATGACAGGGCTTTGATCAACCTTCAAGAGGAGGAGTGGTTAATGTCTGTTGGGAAGACAGGTGGGAGACTGATGAAGACACCTGGATACCGAACCCATTCCCTCACCTTGGACTTCCAGGGACCAGTGAGCTGGAAGGTGCATTCCCTCTGGGGCAAGATAAAGGGAGAATATTCTGTGGTCTACCCTGCAACCTTGCAGCCTGGGCTAGCACCTGTTGGTTTTGGAGACTTTACAGGGCTCTGACATCCTTAGACAAGGGGAGTCTATAAAGATTTAATTAGGCACTGTGAATGGGTGACCTTTGCCTCCCATGCCTGTCCTCCAACCCTAGGGAGAAGGAAGAGACTTGTGAAGAATGCAAACAAGGGGCAGAACTGGAAAAGGCTGAGTTTATTAGTAAAACCCCACGTTTCCTGGAGCTTGGGAATAGAAGCCAACATGACCAGGATCACAGTGCAACCAGGGGCTGCAGCAGCTCACCCCATCAGGGCTGCACTTTGGGGCTTCGCAGCTGCCAGGGGTGGCTGGAGCCTCCTCCCCTAGGCAGGAGCTCACCTCCCCCCTTTCCACTCCCCTTAAAAGGAGGCCAGTCCAACTGGCTCAGCATCCCCCTGTGTTTGACCCCTGGCACAGGCATACCTGCTGAGTCTACACCTGGACCTACACATCTGCAGGGGCTTGTCTGAGCCTAGATGTTCCCACAGGGCCACGTATCAGGCACACGTAGAGAGTTTTAGTGCCCACGGGGACTTTTGATGTTTGAACATTATCTCCAACTCTCATCTCATCCACAAGGCAACTTAGGCCCAGACAAGGGTGAGGTGGGAATCACAGACCACGTGACAGAGCCTGGCCAAGGCCCCCTGACTCTTTCCCACACTGCTTGCTGTGCTTTGTGGCTCGTGCTTCTGATACAGCTATAACCCCACCTCCATGGCACACCCTTCCACCACATTTACCACAAGCCAGGCACTTTCTGTGTATGCCCAGAGACCATATGGGGCAAGCACTATTGGGATTCCATTGTATAGGTGGGGAGACTGAGGTTCAGAGAGGTTAAGTAATTTCCCTAGGAAGTGGTAGAGCTAGAATTGGGGATTTTTTTCCCCTTAGTTTCTAGTGCTGATAACTGAACCCAGAGCCTCCCACATGCCATACAGGCACTTTCCCACTAAGCCACATCCTGGAGTTGGAATTTAGAACCAGAATGTCCGGCTTCAGACTCTGAGCTCTTCACAACTCTGCTATCCATTTCTTCTTCAAAAGCTTCACCTGCACCTGCACACACGTCCTTTCCCTTCCCCTTCCCCTAGCCTTCACTTTCCCATTTGTCCTTGCCATCACCACCATCTTCACAATGCAGCATGTTCTTACTTCAGTCTAAGCCACAAATTCACCCCCATCCCAGCCTCAGCATGGCCATCCAGTTTGCCTTCCTCTTCCTCTTCCTCACAGTCATCTTCAGCCTCATTATGTCCACTATCATCACCAACTTCACCTTATATGACATCCCTAATTGCTGTCCTTATAGATGACCCAGACCTGACTCCTCCCATGGGATGGGAGGCGGGGCTTGCAGTCGAATCCACATAAGTACAAAAAGCTCCGTAAAGGTACAAAGCCAGAATGTGGAAAGGCATTACTATGGTTTGGATGTGAGGTGTTACCCAAAAGCTCACTTGTGAGACAATGCAAGAAGGTTCAGAGGAGAATGATTGGGTTGTGAGAGTCTCAACCCAATCAGTGAATTAATCCCCTGATATGGATTAATTCCTGAGTGGTAACTGAAGTGGTAGGGTGTGGTTGGAGGAGGTGGGAACTGGGGTGTCACTTTGAGGTATATATTTTGTATCTGGAGAGTGGAGATCTCTCTCTGCTTCCTGATCATCATGTGAGCTGCTTCTCCCTGCCACACTCTTCCGCCATGATGTTCTGCCTCACCTCAAGCCCCAAGGAATGCAGCTGGCTGTCTATGGACTAAGACCTTTGAAACCGTGAGCCCTCAAATGAACTTTTTCTCTTCTCCAGTTGTTCTGGTCAAGTCATTTAGTCACAGCAGCGAAAAAGCTGACTAAAACAGGCATTCTCCCTCTTGGAGATTTTCTGGAAATAAACGTGGGGGTAAGGGTGAAAGGGGAAGTTTCAAACAGCCAAAGAGTGTGTGCTGAGGGAAATGAATCAATGGTCAAGGAGATTGCTTGTCATCTTTCAATATCTATAGAAATAACAAGTCTTCAGAGAGGGGGCTAGAGCGCCAAGGGAATAGAAGACCAGAAGATACTCTACCCAGTGCGGCCTCTAATGAGCTATAGGGGAAGGACAGAACCATAGACAGCTTCCGCCCACTCTGGGTGTTGGCCAACACCCCATCTTCTCCAGCCGCAGTAGCTCTTGCAGGCTCTGGAAGCCAGCGGCAGCAAGCAACACCGCCCAGGAGTTTTAGAATTTATTATTCCTTTGAGTCCAAACCCTCCCCACTTCCCAACCCAGTGAGCTCGCTCGTTGGCTCTTCGTGTGTGTTGGCTGCCAGAGGTGCCATCATCCTGCACAGGAACTAGGAAGAGAGGGCATTGGCTTCCCGGATCAGAGCCTCCACCCAGAGTTCCAGCCAAGGCCCCAGAGCTCCCAGGACCTGGAGGATTTTTTTTTCCCTTGGTTGTGTTTGGAATTGGCTGATTTTCTGGGCACCAGGCCCAGCTCAGTTTAATTTTTGTTTATTTTTATGTACAGATTCTCTTCTGTTTGGGGAAGAGCTTTGTGTAAATTATTATTATTTATATGATAAAGAATAAATCACACCAAATAAAAAAACCCACAATCTCTTTTTCTCAATAGAATTACTAAATTAGGGGCTGAAAAGAACAGCCGATATGCTGGGGTTTGGTTTCAGGAAGTCTTTGGACATGGATTCTCACAAAATGTCTTAGTAAACGGGCTCTGTTATACTGGATTTGATGCTACTCTAAGCCAGCAGAGGCACATGGGGCCTCCCAGGAAGGCTATGGTGGTTTAGGCCTAAGGGTATGGGCTCTTGGTCCTCCACACAACCCATCCCTTGGGAGATGAGTTGGACATTTTGAAGTGATTTACTAACTCAGAATGGGGAAAGAACGGGGAAACAGAGTTGGGGATCCTTGCCAGAAACATGATCAAATGCTTTGAATTGGGTGGGGGTGGGGTACATAGAACTTACTTGAATAGTGGCATTATTACATCAGGGGAAAATGAGCCAATCATTGCTTTGCCTATTCATTAAATTTGCATGCTTCAAATCTATTGGTTGGAATGAAATAAGTCAGGAGTGAGGGATACAGATGGGCAGAGGACTAGCTTGGCCCAGAGAGTGTCCCCAAGTGGCTCCCATCCCCAGTCAGGGTAGGGAGAAGACCAACTCATTAAGAATATTGTACCCTCTTTGCCCCTCCACAATTCCTCACCCCTCTCCTCTACGTCTCTACCTCA